GTCAGGACAAAGCTTTAAATCAGTCATGTTTTTGCTCACTACTTGTACACTACAAGTAGGAGGGCCAGCCCTCCCTCTTGCGTTTATATGGCAAATTTCTAGCCCTACTATAGGCGAGATCTTGAGTCGTCAATAGCGAGATCTCGCCTAGGAGGGCTGGCCCTTCTGATATAAACGGCTTAATCATGAAAATTGTTTAGTTTTTATAAGTACACACGTTATTCAAATTTTCCTATTCCCATGGAATTTCCATTGTCAAATTTTGACCTACCACTTGGAATTCCAGACATTTTTTTCGGGGGGGTTATTGGAAATTCCGCATGTCCTCAATAGGGGGGGTGCGGATTAATAATGCGATCAGCCAATGACAGCTTTGGGTACAAAAACCCCACAAAAGTTCTCACTAGATTACTTCTTCTGTTTTATGTTACGGCCTACCATTTACTCCTCTGACCAGTGTGACGACCAGCAACGTTATCTGGCTCCAATTGTCGATGTAGAGAGGTATGCTTTTCTGGGGTAAATTAAAGGTAGGAATAGCACCAGCTACAAGCCTTTTGCAGGTGGGAACTAAAGCAAAACATAAAATACCTGATTATATATACTGTAAGTTGACTTAATTTATACAAATTTTGTTAAGATAGTAATTATAATGACTAAAATTCACAGCAAACAAGATTTATAATAACTGTAAATGGGGCTTTCATATACTATGACATGCCCAAACAAAAATCCTGTTTCTGTATATGCCACTTTCTTGCTTTTAAAATAGCCTTTGAATTATTGTATAATACTTTGTTTACTGTACACGAAAATGGTTCTACTGTCCTCAGTGACAGTGTCCTGAATTTATGTATACCTTCATCTTATGAATACAAGGATTAAACTGTTATATAAATATGACCTAATGACCGAAACGCACTTTTATGCAAATCATTAATATTTATATTTTTCCTGCTCCATATGGTTTTAAAATACAAATTTGATCATTTATACATGAAATATATACAGTACTTCTGCTAATTTAGTAATTTGTGACTTTCAAGCGTTCATACCGAAATATCAATACTTCTACCAGAGAAAGAAAATAACTTACATGTTTCGGCTGGGTCTTTTCAAAGTGCCTTTCACAAACGTGAAGTGTTTGTTGAGCGATTTGATTTCTTAAACTTGCATCTATCTCTCGATCCAGCATCCTTCGTGACAAGCCTCGCCAACGCTTCGCGAATTTTCGTCGATAAATCGTCGTCTTTTGTTGGAATTCAAAAAATACTGACACCAAAGTGTTTTCTACTAGTCCCGCAAACATATATGGTGCAATTTGCACCTGGTATTTGGATATTCTTTCTGTAAAAGACGTTTTTCAAGTACTACAGCCTCCTCTGTAATACAATCTCCTATTAGTAAATAGATTTTGATGCACCCGTATTGTCACGTGACAGAGAACAATAACATAATTTGGCCACGCCCCCAGCTTCCAAACCCTCTCCTCTATTAACTATGGTTAGACCAGGCTGAAATTTCGGTTTCGTAAACCATTGTAAAACTCCATATAATTAGTCCCTAAGGCAATGTCAATAAAGATCTATCATAATTAGTGGAGTATATGGGTAATAGCCTGGATTCTGCGTCAACGTTTGAACTAGTATTAGCTGGCCCCCAAATTTATACATTTGCCGTTCAAAATAAATTCCGTTTAAAACTGATCATTCATGATGAAAACTGGTAACTGAAGATTGTGACATTGGAAGACTATAACATAGGGAATTAAGCGTTGCTCCATGTCGATATGATGGGAGATTGGACACGATTTAGCGGGGATATTAATTACGATTTAGTAATAATCATAGTACTAAGTTAATAACAAAGGTTTATTCATATACTGCATGTATGCTAGAAATATCATGGCGTAGCTGATGTAGTCGTAAGAAAGACTATAGTACTGTAAAGTGCATGTTAAACGAGGCAATTTTTTGTGCGACGTGGAAGCCAATTTTGGATACAGAGCCAGAGATAGGATACACAGACAAAAAATGTTGGCCGAGTAAAGTGTGGGTCACGCTTCGAATCTCCCTGCGACTACTTTTTAGATAACTTGGCAGATATCATACAGATATCAGAAATAGACCCTTCCGAAAAGTACTAGACTTGCCACAAGTCTGCCTCAAAATTTCCCCCTAGCTTTATTGGGAGAATGAATATAAGATGATGAACCGCGCGAAATCAAAATGACATCTTTGAAAAGGACTTTGCGAAAGCAGAAAAGTACTTAGCCTTCGCTTCAGAGCCTCGTTATCCGGATTGCGGATATCGGCTTTAGTGTCGTTTATCTTGTTGCTGATGACCTCATTATATAAAGATCTTTTATATGTACTATTTTCAACATGAGCTGCCGTGTTGTATCGGAAATACAACGTGAACGTTACAAATGGCTTGTGAAACGTCTTGATGAGAACATTCGTATTCTTTAACAATTTAAAATAAATTAATGATATTTGGTGAGAAAATTGAACTTAAAGTTTATGTAAATCAGCACGATTTTGTATCATGTGTACAAAATGATGAAAACGAGTCTCTGTAGCCAAGGCTGAGTACCTTTCCGAAAGGATGTACTGCGTTGCACGTTGCAGCAAAAATTACCTCTTATTATAACATGGCTTTTAATGGCAGTAATACGCAACTTAAAATAAAACATTGCAGAACACATATCATTTGGCAGCAACGTTCGTCGTAAGTACGATAATGTAAATCTGTAGTTATCTAGGTCTATAAATAAAAGTGTGATGGCTATTGGTTGTTGTATTTTTATACATACCCATCAGATTCCAAGACTGTTTGGAAATATTTCTATCGAAAATTAACCTGGCAACCTGGTACCCAGGGCCAGTCGTGAGTTGAAGGCAACCTGGATGCCTGATCATGAGGTTTTCAGAGGTTGATTTTTTTTCAGAGGAGAATAGGAAAGATCGTGTCAAATTACTACACAAAAGCCCTAGCCAGGAAAATCTCTGAAGCCTCCGGAACCCAAGGTGATAAAAAATGTGTGAGATAGTGTCATGTAAAACAGACCAAATGATGGCATGCTATAGTTTCTGCATGAACTCTTTCCAAACTAGTCGACCCACCCAGTAATTATATCAGGTATAATGGTGTAAGATCCATTTTACTTTTGGTAAGTGTTGTAACGAGTCACCAACAGCTCGAGTCATGAGTCGAGTCAAGTCACCCGAATGTCGAGTCACCCAAAGGTCGAGCCATGAGTCGAGTCATTTCACTATCTGATCGAGTCGAGTCAATGGCTTCACTCAAGTGATGAGTCAATGGCTACACGAATTGTATGGTGAACGAAAAGGTGAACAAAAATGCCTTTAAAAATTTCCCTACAAGTGGAAACATGCCTATCCGCATAGAGAATTACTTTTTATTTCTTCAAACGCTTTCAGGATTCTTCCCAACCTATTCAACTACAATATTTTTGACGAATTTATCCTGAACAAGTTGTAGCTGAGTTGAATTGAGTCATTTACTGCAGAAATCAACAAATCGAGTCCGAGTCGCGTCATTTGGGGCTGTTGACTCGACTCGTAACAACACTGCTTTTGGTATCCGGAATTTTTATTGAAAAAGGTCAAATAATGGTATAAAATATCCCACATTTATCCAGGACAAAGCATTGAAGCAAACAGACGTACTGTAGCTGGCAATTTCAGGTCTGGTCATGAAGCAGCCGATGGATAAAAACCACTGAGCTGTATAATAACTGGAGGACCTGCTCCTATACTTCGTTCAGTCAACAAATTGTCGCCAAAAACATGGCGGATTTTGAGTGAAAATGACGCCATTTCCATGACTACTGGTCCCTAAATTCATGGTAATTGCCACTGAACAAGGCTCAATTATGAGCCCGCCACAGTTTTCACCCCCCCTGGTTTTTACAAAAATATTTCGGCTTTTTTGTAGTGAATCCTTGAGTGTTTTGTACGTTTCTGTAATATGCAGCCATCCTCTTCGAAGCTCAAATATTTATTCTCGCCAGCAAAAGACAAGGAACAAATATTCAAACCTGTGGGAAGACGTACTTTATATTTCAAAAGGTAAACGACATACATATATTTTAATATTTATTTTATTGTAGCCTTTTTTAGTTGTAAATACTATTTTGTTTTATTTTAAAATATGTTGCGATACAAAACAGCCTACTTGTTCTGTGTAATGGAGAATTTTAGCATCAAGTATACATAATTGGGTTGTACTATTAAACCACGAAATAAGCTTTGTTTATTATATATTTATAGTGAGAAATTAAAGCAATTCTCGAAGCTATTAAATAGTTGACACTTTGGATTTTAGGGGATGTTTACACTTTACACTACATGTATAGCTGTACATGAAGGACCAGCCTGCAGGGGTCGTTTTCCCTTTTCACCTCTTGTTTACATGAGGAAAATCAACCCTCAACTCATCTATTTTATTCAACCAAGTCCAATTAAATCATACTCCAACCCACAGACAATTGAATATTGTTCTTGAGAGCTAAAAGGTATCTGAATTGAAAAAAAAAACTTGAAACACAGGCTGAGTTTGATGTGAACACAGTGGGTTATTTTACTTAGCCCTAACCACGGATTGGTATTTTACAATCCATGGCCCTACTAGGTGGGCCAGCTTTATAGAGTACTTTAATTCTGTTGACTTGCATTTATATGGGAATTTTGTGGTGACCGTGCTATAACCATGAATTACTGTATAAATTAGTCGAGTTGCAAGTTGTAACTGCAAATTAATGTAATTAAGGTGTATGCATGCACAGGATTGTGGACATGTCACACTCGATATAACTAAATGTCAAAGGTAGTGTGACTTGACGAATATTTCAAGTGTGAATTTTATGACCTACAGTACAGAGTATAACCAACCTAAAATATTGTTGCATCTTTTGCAGTTCAGGTCTAAAAATGTACATACAAAAACCCTTCATCATTTAGTGATGAACATCAGCATTGTCATGTAGAACCCTTTTCTCGCCAAACACTTAATATGTAACAGTTGCATGGTGGTCAACATCAGAAAAATTTGCACAAGAATGTTAAGACATTTAAATACCTTTCCATTCTATATTTTTCTCATAACATATTGGTCTGTTCCAAACATGTAGTTTTTAGATAATAATTACCTGCTTTATATTTCTATAGACCAAGAAGACTAGACTGTTAAGTGAGAGGTATCGTGCCTTTGAGGAATCTTATGTATTGGTGGAGTACTTCATATGCATGATCATGAAATTACTATGTACGTACATGTACTAGCTGCTATCACCATATGGTCTGAAAATATGAGGGTTTTTTTTACCAACCTCTGCTGATCATGCAGCAGGAATCAAAAGAAAAGAAAACATTCAATAAAACACAGAAAATAAAACATTCTTGATAACATATACTAGATTTGGTAGAATGATCTAATTCAGTTACTTTTTGGGAAAATTTTTAAATATGGACTTGTTATATA